CTCATGACAACTCTTGAGAATAGCCACCATTGTTGTCTTCAATTTATAAATGAGGAAGTGAGGTTCATAGAGACAAAGTCATTTGCCCAAGGTCACATGGCCAATAAGTTTAGCAGAACCAGATCCCAGCCCAGGCTGAGTCAAGAATCTGAGCTCTCAACCATCACCCACATAGTGCTCTTCTCTTGTGTGTCACCCAAGTCTCCCTGGGACTGCTGTGTCCCCAGCACGTAGCATAGTGTTGCTGAATAAGTGACCACTCACAACTCTCACACAGTCTCTGATAACTAGTGACCTAATAAATCCTCATTGAGTACATTCTCTGCTCCAGGTACTATGTGAAGGGCTACAGATTTAACATTAACAAGACAAAGTCCCTGCCCTCTGGAGCTTATACTTTAGTCTAGTAGATACAGATAGGAGCTACAGATAGTAGATAGGAGCTCTGGTAGCATAGTGCCTAAGGCACTTGACTGCTAACCAGAAGGCTGGCGGTTCAAACCCACCAGCCACTCCTCGGAAGGAAGGTTGGGCAATCTACTTCTGTAGTGATACTGCCTCAGACACCCAAAGAGGGGTCACTATGAGTCAAGTCTGACCTGACGGCACATAACAACACAGTAGATACAGATACACATAAACAAGATAGTTTCTGAAAGTAATCAATGATGAGGTAAAGAAAATGGAATATATGATAGAGTTATGGGAAGATAGAATGGGAAGGAGGAGTCATTGCCTTGGGGGCAATGAGTTTCTATTAATAGTAGAATCATTTGGAAATGGATGCCAGTGATAACTGCACAAGATGAACATAATCATTGTCAATGGATTGTACATGTAAAAAATGTTGAGTGGGCAAATGTTTTGTTATATATATTTTACACAATAAAACAATTAAGAAGAAGAATGGGAGAGGTGATGATAGGCTCTTGTAGCTACAGTGATCTGAGGAAGAAAAGGGAGTGGCTGAGCTCTGATGTGAACATTAGCATCTTAGTTCTCTAGCGCTGTGCTGCTAAAACAGAAATACCACAAGTGGATGGCTTTATCAAACAGCATTTTATTCTCTCACAGTTTAGGAGGCTATTAGCCAAATTCAGAGTGCCAGTTCTAGGAGAAGGTTTTCTCTCTGTTGGCTCACAGTTTAGGTGGAAGATCCTTGTCTCCTTTCAGCATCTGTGGGCTTGTCATCCCTTGGTGATCTCTGTGTGTCTTGGCATCAACCTTCGCCTGGGTCTAGGAGGTTCCCAATGCAGGGATCCTGGGTCCAAAGAATGTGCTCTGCTCATGGCTCTTCTTTCTTGGTGGTCCCTCTCTTTCTGCTTGATCCTCTCTCCTTTTATCTTTTGTAACATAAAAGGTGATGCTGGCCACATTCCAAAGAAACTCCCCTTACATCACAGCTGTGACCTGAGTAAGAGTGCTGCACCCCACCCTAATTCTTTCACAATTGATTGGCTGATCATATCAAATCACATCATTATATGAGTACCAAACCACTGAGAATCATGGCCTAGCCAAATTGAAGTATATTTCGGGGCAACAAAACTCAACTCGTAACAGTTAAGAAGGAGGTGGGTTTTTTTTTTTTTTTTTTTTTAAACTTAGTGAGAGTTCCAAAAGAGGAAAAGCATTGGATTAAGAAACAGTTTGGTATGTATGTTCAAGGGATTCCCACAAAACTTCCTTAGACTGGATGGAAAGGGGGAAGGAGATTAACTCAAAGAGGTTGGCAGAGGGCTAGATGGGCAAAACCTTGCAGGCCAGGTGAGGAGTTTAGATTTCATCTTGTAGTGGGAAGCCATTGGAGAATTGCAGGCAGTGAAGGACTATCCCTTGATTTACAATTTTAACAGGTCTTTACCATGTGGAGAATAAGCTGCAATAGGGCATAGGTGGAGGTGAGAAACCCCTTAGAAGGTGGTGGTAGGACATGATGGTGGCTTAGACTGACATTGTAACAGTAGAGGTGGTAAGGAGCTGTCACAGTCTGCATAAATTTTGGAGGGAACGGTAAAAGGACTAAATGGATTGAATGTGGAGTGTTAAGGAGAGGCACGAAGGATGACTCCTAGATTTTTCCTGAGTAACTGAGTAAATGGTGGTACTATTTACTGAGGTGGGGAAGTCTTGGGGAAGAAAAGGTTTGAGAGGTAGGAGAAATATATTATATTTTGGCTCTGTTAAAGTTGGAAATGACACAATAGTCACAACTATGGACACAAACATATCAATGATTATGAAGATGGCACAGGACCAGGCGACATTTCATTCTGTTAATACGTAAGGCCTTGATGAGCTGGAGTGACTTAACAACAACAACAAGTTAAAATTCCTTATATTCATCTAAAGAGATGTTGACTATTCAGAGAATATGGAGCTCTGGGTAAAAATCAGGATAGGGGACAGGGTTGGAGATAAGATCTGGGAATCAGCATTATGTAAAAAAAAAAAAAAAACCTCACTGCCATCCAGTTGGATCCGACTCATAATGACCCCTCCTTGGGTTTCTGAAGCGGTATCACTATGGAAGTAGATTGCCCAACATTCCTTCTGATGAGTGGCTGGTGGGTTTGGGCCACCAGTCTTCTGGTTAGCAGTCAAATGCCTTAGGCACTATGCTAGCAGAGCTCCCAGCATTATGTATAGGTAAATAATATTTAAACCCATGGGACTGGCTAAGATTACCCAGAGAGACTGTGTAGGAAAACAAGAAAATGAAGCCAAGGATAGAGACCTACAACACTCCTACATGTACAGTTTGGGAAGAGAATGAGCCAGGAAAGGACACCAAGAAGGAATAGTCAGTGCAGGAAGAGTGATGTCAGGAAGAATGTAGTTCAAGGAAGAGGCAGTGGTCAACCACATTAAAGGCTACAGAGGTTAAGATGAAGAAAGAGAATATGAAATGAAGAAGGGGAGGTAAGTAATGAAGACAGCACTTCCAAGGAATTTTGCTACTTGGGTTGCAGAGGAAGAGGGCAGAAGTTGGAGAGGACGTGAATTCAGGGAGAGATTTTGTTTTTAACTCCCTCCTCTATCACTGATGTGAGATAATAGAGCTCCTTTTCATAGTGATGAGAATGGTTCAGTAAAGAGAAATGGATAATGCTGAAGAGAAAGAGGGTATCTGCAAGAGTGAAGAACTTGAGAGGGTTAAAGGGAATGGGAGTGGGAGGTGAATGTCAGCAGAATCGGAAGGTGAGAATGAGATGCAAGGAAGTGAAGTGCACAGTGGTGGGAGCTTTGATATCTATGTACCCTGTTCAAGATACTGATGCTGGTCTTCAGTATGAACAATAATAAGATAAACCAAATCTATTGCTGTCAACTTGATTGTGACTCATGGTGACCTCATGTGTTACAGGGTAGAATTGAACTCAGTAGGGTTTTCTTGGTTGTAATCTTTATGGAAGATCACCATTGGGTGGATTCAGACTGCCAAACTTTCAGTTATCAGCTGAACCCAAAAAATTTTTGCTACCCAGGAACTAGCTACCAATTATTAAGTATGTACCTATCACATGCGTACCTCTGGTGATAGGGGAGTAGGTGGGTGGGACACAAGAGTAACATCACAGAGGGAGTTAAGCTTCTGGGCAGAGAAATGAGGAGGCCTCAGTGTGCTTTCCCAGGCCTCATCCTCTTTGTTCATTTTTCCTAGAGTGACTGATTCTCCTCACTTCAGCTCCTCTTATTCTCTCTCCTGCCTCTTCCAGAAGCCTGTTAAACTGTGAGGGTGGGATGAAGGCAGTCCTCCCAATGTGACTGGTAAACTACATATGAGGTGCAAAAGGGGAACAGAGCTATGTCTATGGTGATGAAATCCTTTAAACTGCAATTGTAAAGTGTTTCATTCAGTATATGTGTCTGTGTATTTAAGTAATAGAGAAAAGAAGTCTATTTCTCTTACAAAAAGTGGTTTGTATCTAAACTACCTGTGTCACTCAAAAGTCTTTACTTAAAGAAATGAGATAAGAAAATAATCTGTAAAACATTTCTATCATGTTTTATTTTGCAACTCATAAAAAAGCTAAGTGGGACCACAAAATGAATGAACCTTGAAACATTATGATGAGCAAAATAAGTCAGTCACAAAAGGACAAATACCGTATGATCTAGTTATATGAAATAAGCAAATATGTACAAACCAGACTATTAATAGTTACCATGTGTGGGAGGGAGGGGAGAAGGGGGAGTTTTTATTTGGGAGGGGGCATTAAGTTTATGTTAATAGAGGTGGAATATTTTGGAAAAGGATAGTGACAATGGTGGCACAACATGAAAAATGTGATCAATGTCATTGAATTGTAAATGTGAAAGTTGTGTTGGCAAATGTTTTGGTGTGTATATTTACCCTACAATAAAAAAGAAAGACAAAAAAAAGGCTAAGTAGGAAAGGAAGAGAAGAGAAGCATGTTTACCTCCATCAAAACCCTAAACCAGCAGGGAACCATGAAAACGGGAGAGAGTAGAGGATATTATGATTTCAGGAGCATAGGAATTACTGACTATATTTCTTTTCTTTTGTGAACTGTAGGAGAAGAATCAAGAGTGGGTGACCAGGCACATTAAAGCCTTCCCTCTGAAAAATATAGAAGCAGCGAAACACATTCTCACAAGAGAAAAGACACAAACAGAAGAAATAAGCAGCATTCAAGCAGTTTTGATGCTGAGAACCAGCCTGAATTCCAATAACCCAAAACTCATGACAGGATTTTTTTTTTTTTTACTCTGAGTTAACAGAATCACATTCTAATCGAGGTCTGTGAATAAGATTAAAGATTGGAATAAATTAAGGACATCCTTTACAGAAAAGTAAGAAAGGCACCAAGTTGCATAGCACTTAGCAACATTTCAAGTTCAGCAATTTTTAATCGATAGATTGATTTTTGTTTAAAGGTGACAGAGGAAAAATGTGACCTATTTTCTCAGACAAACTGGACACATCATTAAAGCCTCGGCAGACCCTCATTATTTTATTTTGAGTCAGGGAAACTATGGGAAAGTTGAATCTCCAAAAGGACACCTATAATGTGAAGATAGCAAAGGTGATTGGATACCTTACTTCTATAGGCAGAGAATAAGTCTATATTCCATAGGTTCCCAGCTCAGAAAAAGAGCAGCAGGCTTGGGAAATAAGTTAACAAGAAAGATGAGGCAATACAGAATAATTGGGGGTGGGGCTAGGGGAGAGTGCCTTCCAGAGGGCAAAAGGGGAGTTCTAAGCATGGATGTGATGAAGAAAGTCCTCCAGCTGTATGTGTTGCTTTTTGCTCTAGGATCCTTATCCTGATGCAGACACCATGCGGTGTTCCCCCAGGCGCTGCTTCATAACCTCAGTGGGCATTGCATTCCTGTGGCTCTTCATCACTTTGAAAGTCCCCAGGGATATGGAAGATGACCAAAATGTTATGGCTATCAAAGTCCAAGTAGTCACTTTTTTTCTCATTTGGGGAATTGGGGATGTAGTGAGGTGGGAGTGGTATGGACAGGCTGACTTTCAAAAGCACCTGGGTTTTCCTTCTTCCTATACCTCTCCTCACCTGAGAGCAGGAAGCTCCAAAAATAGCTGGGGCATGGACTAGGGCCACCGGTGTATAAAGAAGCTTTTGTGTGTGTGTGTATGTATATGTATGTATATATATATATATATATATATATATATATATATGTAGGAGCTCTAGTAACGTAGTGCCTAAGGCATTAGACTGCTAACCAGAAGGCTGGCTGTTAAAACCCACCAGCCACTCCTCGGAAGGAAGGTTGGGCAATCTACTTCCGTAGTGATACTGCCTCGGAAATCCAAGGAGGGGTCGCTATGAGTCGGATCCGACTCCATGGCAGTGGTTGCATGTATATGTATATATATGAAAATATAAGGAAGAGAGCAAATACTGTTTGAGCTCTGGGTACTGTGGCCAATGGCCAGGCAACCTGAGAACATGCAGTCTTGTTCTAGGGAGAGTGTAACCTACTTCTTTCCCTGTAAAAGCTTATGGGAAACCATTGGGGGCATATCCGGTTCTTTTTTTATGAATAGAGATACATATTTTGCCTTTGCTAATGCTCCAGGTGGCCAGTTTTAGCAGCAGTAGAGACAAGAGAGCACCAGAAGACTGGCAGAACCTCACCCTCAAGTATATTAGAAAAGTCCAGCAGAGAAGAAAGAGTGAGTACCAGTGGGGAGGGTGGGGTATCCCAGGGCAAGTAGGGACATGGAGAGAGGTATCACAGCTTGGAAGGAAAGAAGAAAGTGGGAGGAGAAAAGACAGGATGGTTCCCAGTAATATTTGAATCTGGCAGACCATTTTCTCCCCATGAAGACATCTATATATCAGGAATATGAGGAAGGAAGGAAGGAAGGAAAAGATAAAGTTAGTTGTTCCTAGAAAGTGGAATCACTGGGTTAGAGAACATTAGGATTACAAGGGACCTTAGAGTTACATAGTCCAATTCTCTTGCTTTTATGGATCAAGAACTAAGGTCAAGAGTGAAGGGACTTACTCAAGAACCCACAATCAGTAGAAGAACTTGGAAGATAATCTTGAGTTCCCCACTTTTAGGAGAAGTGCTTTTTCTAATATATCTTCTTCAAAGGACAGCTTTGGGAAAATTAACTGGATAAAATAATAACTATAATAATAGCTAATATTTATTGAGTACTTAAACCATGCACCACTCATTTCTGAATTCAAATAATCTTGGAGGGACCTACAGGGACTCAGACCCACTGAGCTTAGTATTTCTCAAATGTTAACGTGCATACAAATCATCTGCTGATACTATTAAAATGCAGGTTCTGATTACCTCAGTCTGAGGTGGGGCCTAATGGTCTATATTTCTAACAAGCTACCTGATGAGTGTGATGCTGCTGGACTAGGGAGCACACTTTGAGTAGCAAGGACCTAGGTAAGTAAGTAGGAGAAGGGAGAAAGGAAGATAGAAGACCCCAAGTAGTATCCAATCCTTAACCCTGTTGACAACCATGACTATCACCACATACTGACAACTGTCTTCTACTTTACCTCTCCCTAGCATGGCTGACAGTGGGGATCTCCTCAGTGTCACGACCAGAGGGAAGCAACCTCTTGTACACACTGGACTCCCTATTCCGTGCTTCCTCTAAGGCTGAGCAGAAACACCTCACAGTGCTGATCCACTTGGCAGATTCTGACCTCAACTGGCTCAGAGAAACTGTTGCCCGTATTTCAAGCCTCTTCAGCCCACAGATCTTGGCAGGACAGTTGCTACTGATCCATGCTCCATCTGATGCCTACCCCCTTGCAGATGGCATCAGGGACAATGCCTATCCTGGGGAATTCTACGCCAAACAGAATGTGGATCATGCTTTCCTCATAAGCTATGCCACAAACCTCTCTGATTACTTCCTCTTAATAGATGACAATGTCTTTTGTGGCCCCAACTTTGTCAGTCACATTCAGTCGAAGGTGACCAACATGAACTCCAACTCATGGGTACTACTGGAATTCTCTAACATGGGCTTCCTTGGAAAACTCTTTCACAGCAGGGACCTCACACTCCTTGCCCATTTCCTCCTCCTCTTCTACAAGGAGAAGCCCCTTGACAGGCTGATCCCTCATTTCCGTACCATCCTGGTTCAGGAAAACCCAATCCTCTGCAGGCCTTTCCTCTTCTACCACAGGGTCTCCTACCCCACCTTTGATGGCAGCCAGAAGAACTCAGCAGTTAAGAAAACAGACTCTTACAGTCCTGACAACCCACCTGGAACTGTTTTCACTGATATGAAGGTTTTTGATGTTCATTTCCCCTGGGAGGCTTACACTCTGGATGAATCATTCTTTTGGACATACAATGTTAGTGTGGGGAGTCACCTGACAGTGATTTTGAGCCATCCAGTGAACTTGAGAAGAGTGCAAGTGATGACAGGTTCCATGGTGGAGGGAGAGTATGCTCTAGCAAAGGGGCAAGTGGAGCTGGGCTACAACCCTGAGGGGATGCCCCAGTACTGTACCACATTCACCTTGCTGGGCCGTCTCTTGGAAGGGCAGCTGGATCAGGATGTATTTCCGAGAAGTATGGGGCATGATGTGAGCTGCGTGAGGCTGGTGGTGAAAGCTAATCAGGTTGGTGGTCTCATGATCAGGCATATCTCCCTCTGGGAGGAAAAAGCCAAAGAAAAAGAAGCAGCCTTTGAAGATGAATCAGCACAGGTGTGAAAAATTAAAATCTTAAAGCCATTTCATTCTAGCCTATCTGGGTGCATGATAGGGGAGATACAAGGGGAATGAGGGGCAGAGTGGGGAGGCTCTCTATCTTTCTTTCGGTCCTACCAAGATGTTAGGAGACCTGTTCCATCTTTTTCTACCCAAATAAGCACTTTTCCTAGGATATCTTTTGCTGAGGCAGGCATAGCTTAGCCCAGATTGGGGAAAGGCCTCAGTCATTCCCAGAAACTCTTTAGATTCCTGGGATTTTGGAATCAGCACAAATACAGACTATGTATTTTTACATAGGGTTGGGGATGAAGTGTAATGTGGTCATAGGAGGGTGAGGACATTTTGTTTCTATCTATATCCCAAGTGTATGTCTAAGTACAGGAAAATCACGGGGAGTACCTAGAATTGACATTAGGATATAAACTTCCTGAAGTTCAGGGAAGTAGCAGATGAACCAATGACCATAAAACTAACTCTTGACTCTTTCCTTTTGATTTCTTTCACAGTACCAATCTAGTCCCCTCCTTTCCTCATCAACAAACTTGGGCATAAATAGTTTGTAACTAAAGTCTTACATTCTCATCAGCAATTCACTCTTCCACTTCTCCACTGCCTTCTATATCTACAATACTACTAAAACTCTTTTTTGTTGCTTGGAATAACAAAAATAGTCAAAACCCAGCAGTGTTTCCCCAGACTCATCCTCAACTCTCTTTAGCAATACACAGTATTGTCTTCCTTCTTGAAACTGTCTTCTTTGCTGTGATTCATTAATTCATTAGATAGTTATTGAGTGCTGGTAGAGATACAGACAAGTGTGTTTTAAGCATCATGTTGGGATTAAGGATATGGTCTTTTGGGAGCAAAGAGCTGCTGTTCCTAACCCATTCTTGGGGGTTTATGGAAGACATTTTGGAAGATATGACTTCTAAGCTTCGACTTGCCAAGTAATTAGAGAAGAGAGCAAGATGATGTGGGAAGAGGGGTGGGGGAGATTTTTTTCAGTAGAAGAAAACAGCATGCAGAGAAGGAGGACAGACAGGAGAAAGTACTTGGCTAATATAGTCATTTAATGCACAAGTCATTTAATGGGGCTGGAGATGGAAGGTAAGCTGGAATGGGATGGGGCAGCAGATGAAGCCACAGGGCAGAAAGGACCAGATTGAGAAGGACCACAGACAATTTAATGGGAATAAGAATAGTTTTTTTTTCAATAAACGGTACTAGGACAACCAGATATCCACATGCAAAAGAATGAAGTTGGGCCCTTACCTTACCATATATAGAAATTAATTTAAAATAAATTGTGAACCTAAATGTAAGAACTAAAGCAATTGTCATGACCTTGGATTAGACAATGGTTTCTTAGCTATGGCACCAAAAGCACAAGCAATCAAAGAAAAAACAGGTAAGTTGGACATGATCAAAATTAAAACTTTTGTGCTTCAAAGGTCACTATCAAGAAAGACAACCCACAGAACATCAAAAGAGTGAAATAACAACCCACAGGATGTTAGAAGATATTTGCAAGTCACATATTTGATAGTAGGCTGATATCTAGAATATTTAAAAAACTGTTAAAAACTCTATAATAAAAAGACAACGTAATATAAAAAGGAGCAAAGGATTTGAGTAGATATTTCTTTAAAGAAGATATACAAATGGCCAATATGCAAATTAAAAAAATTGCTTAACATCGTTAGTCATTAGAGAAATGCAAATCAAAACCACAATGAGATACTTCACACCCACTAGGATGTCTAAAATAAAAAAGGCAATAAATGTAGGAAAGGATGTGGAGAAATTGGAACCCACATACTTTGCTGGTAGGATTGTAAAATGGTGCAGCCATTTTGGAAAACTGTTTGACTGGTGTGTAAAACAATACAGTTAGAATTCTAGCAATTCCATTTCTAAGTATATATCTAAGAGAATTGAAAACAAATGTCCATAAACCTAAACACAAATGTTCAAAGCAGCATTATTCCTAACAGCCAAAAAGTGGAAGCAATCTACGTTTATCAAATGATGAATGGATAAATAAAATGAAAAAAATCTCATTGAGGTCAAGTTGGATCTGCCTCAGTGTGACCCCTCCTTGGGTTTCTGAGGCTGTATCACTACGGAAGTAGATTGTCCAACCTTCTGAGGAGTGGCTGGTGGGTTTGAACTGCCAGCCTTCTGGTTAGCAATGAAATGCCTTAGGCACTATACCACCAGAGCTCCCATGAAATATTATTTAGCAATAGAAAGACATGGAGTATTGATTGATATATGCTACAACATGGGTGAACCTTGAAAACATTATGCTACATGAAAGAAACCACTCACAAAAGCCACATATTGTATGACTGACTCCATTTATAAGAAATGTCTAGAATACTGGGATCTTAAAGGCTTGCAAGCAGCCATCTAGATGCAACGATGGGTCTCTCCTCATCCAGAGCAAAGAAGAATGAAGAAAACCAAAGACACATGGAAACAATTAGCCCAAAGGACTGGTACACCATGCGATTCTCAGCCTATATATGACTATGAGACCAGATGAACTAGATGGTGCCTGGCTTCCACTGTCAACCACTCGGAGGGGGGACCTATGTGGGAGATTCTGGATAGAGTGGGAGAACAATGTGGAACAAAACTTAACATCATAAAAAAAAAGGGGTGGGGACCAGGTTTGCTGGTCTGATAGAGCCTGGTGAAACCCCTGAGACTATGACCCCTAGCTGCCCTTCAGGTCTGGAATTGAACCCACTCCTGTGGCTTCCAGGCAAACAAAAGACAGTCATATTAGCTGAACATTTACATTAGGTAGATGCACTCCTTGGAGAGATCAATCATGGGAGAACAGAAGGGCTGTGTATGGACAGGGACACAGGTCAGAGGGCAGAAGTGCATGGAGGGAAGGATACAGGGAAGAGGTAACTATGGGGAGGAAGTGGGAGGAGAGCTATTGCATTGTGGGAAATTGCAGTCAGTGTTATGAGACAAAGTATATGTGAACTGCTGTATGGAAAATGAATTTGCTCTGTAGACTTTCACCCAAATCACAATAAAAATTTAAAAAAAAGGAAAAAATGTCCAGAATAAGAAAATCCATAGAAAGAGAAAGTACATTAGTGGCCAGGGCCTGGAGGAAGGGGAAAATGAAGAGTAACAGCTGATGGGTACAAAGTTTGTTTCTAGAATTATGACAATGTTCTAAAATGGATTGTGGGGATGTTTGTACAACGCTGACTATATTAAAAACCACTGAATTGGATACTTCAAAAGGGTGAATTTTATAGTATGTGAATTATATCTAAATGAAACTATTATTTAAGAAACAAAAAAAAAGTCAAGGAGCCAAGTTATAGGGTTTATATTATCCTGAGGGGAATAGGAATCAATGAACAATTTTAAGCAAAATTATCTGTGTTGTGCTTTGGAAAGATCACTATAGCCATCATATGAAGACTTGACTGAAGGGGGCCAGCACAGGGAAACTAACTGGATAATATGTACAAGGTGCCTAATACAGTGCCAGGCACATAATACTTAATAAATGACACTTTTCACTACTCTTTTCTCTCTTCTTCATTTTCTTTTTTTTTCCTCCATAAATCATAGACTAATCTTTATTTCCACACCTTTCTGACTAATTATTCTCTCCATTACTGACACTACTTCCTTCACCCACCTTTAAATATGAGGCTATCCCAAAGGCTTTTGCTCTTACTCATCTATACATTCTTTCTTTGACTTTTTAGCCACTCACAGCTTCACCTGAGTGAATTTTCAGGTACTACCTGAGCTGACATTACCCTTTGAGTCCCCAATCTGAGCCTCAGTCCCTCATCTCCAACTGATAATGGATCTCCTCCACATGACTATTGTATTGTCCTCTCAAGTTCAACATGTATAAAACCAAACTCTTCAGCTTGTTCCAAAAAAGCCAATATCCCTTCTAGACATGTCTATTTGTAGCAATGGTTACATTACTAAACTCAAAATCTTAGCCATTTTTTTTTTAAAGTGGTCCATAGAGCACTTGTATCAAAATCACTTCGAATTGCTTATTAAAATGCTTTTCACTAACTCTCGCTCACTCTCCAATCAAGTGCTTTTAACTCCATAATTTCCACTCTATTTTCATATAAAGAAGCTCTGGTGGTGTAGTGCCCAAGGCATTTGACTGCTAACTAGAAGGCCAGAAGTTCAAACCCACCAGTCACTCCTTGGGAGGAAGACTGGGCAATCTACTTCTGAAGAGATACCACCTTGGAAATCCAAGGAGGGGTTGCTATGAGTTGGGATCAACTCGATGGCAGTGAGTTGAGTATTTTCATATAAAGAAGGCTATCTTCCCTCCATAGAATGTGGAAATTATCAAACAATATCATTAATATCACATGCAAGTAAAATCTTACTGAAGATAATTCAAAAACAGTTGCAGCAGTATATTAACAGAGAGCTTCCAGAAATGCAAGCTGGATTCAGAAGAGGATGCGAAATGAGAGATATCATTGCTGATGTCAGATGGATCTTAGCTGAAAGCAAAGAATACCAGAAAGATATTTACTTATGTTTTATTGACTATGCAAAAGCATTTGATTGTGTGGATCACAACAAATTGTGGATAACATTGAGAAGAATGGGAACTCCAGAACACTTGATTGTACTCATGAGGAACCTGTACATAGATCAGGAAGCTGTCGTTCGAACAGAACAAGGGGATACTGCATGGCTCAAAATCAAGAAGGAAGTGTGTCAAGGTTGTATCTTTTCACCATACTTATTCAACTTGTATGCTGAGCAAACAATCCGAGAAGCTGGATTATATGAAGAAGAACGTGGCATCAGGATTGGAAGAAGACTCATTAACAACCTGCGTATGCAGATGACACAATTTTGCTGTCTGAAAGTGAGGATGACTTGAAGCACTTAACTGATGAAGATTAAAGACTAGTCTGCAGTATGGATTACACCTCAATATAAAGAAAACAAAAATCCTCACAATT